TTGATTCTTGAATTCTAAATTAATAGTTAATGTTTTTATTATTTCCCTCAAACATTGAGTGTCCTTAGTTACTTCATCTTAGTATATTACATGTTTCAAATTAAAGTGTTGATATAAATGTCACTTTCTCTCTCAAAACTTTATGTGAATAGATTGACCTAAAAAAGCCTATCACTCGCTCCTATAATGTATAACAACTTTTTTACTTCTATTATTTACAATTCTTCATTACTAAATATACTCCAGTTTTCTTTAATAATTTTACTTGATCACCCTCTCTTATTACCCATATTTTGTCGTTCCCTTTCTTTGATTTCTTTTTCTATAGTTTTGCATTCATTGACATTCTTTGAGAAAAGGGAACTCTCTGCCTCATGCATACTTTGTAAGACCCGCTTCTTTTTTTCCGCCTTCCCCTCAACACTGTCATTTTCTCCTCACTTCCTTTCCTTGGTTTCAAATTCTTAAACTTCCTGGTGGTGATTGTTGTGGTTGAAGGTGTGGAGTAGAGACATGAGGAGCTAGTCGGAAGCGCGAACCTCTTGTTCTTCTTCTTTCCCTTCTCTTCCCCGGAGCTTGGATTTTTCTTTTCAACGTAAGGGAAGTTAGATTGCATGCGGATTGTGATGCGTTTGATGGTTGCATGTTGAAATAGAGCTTGTTTTTTAGTTGTATGATGTAAATGTAATTCATTTCATGGATTGCATGTGTTTGAGCTGGTTGATTTGTAGGTTTTTGTTTGAAATTTTCGAAGTTGTGAGGGTTGCTATTTGAAATTGCGCTGGGCGTGTGTTCATCAAGGAACTCCATTGTGCAAGCATGCGGGCACTAGGTTGGTTGCGCCGAGCGAGGTTAGGAATGGAAGTCTCTGGATGAATCACGTCGGGCATGGAGAGAACCACGCTGGGCATGATATCAGATAGTGGCTCAAAAATTTGAGTTACTGACATAGCGTCGGACGTGATTCGATCTCATCGGGCATCGAGACTCCGTGGGGGTCATTGCCTAGGGTGGCATCGAGCGCAAAATGAGCGCGTCAGGCGTGAGACCTTAGTGAGGTCTCTACCTTATTTGCACCGAGCATGAGTTTGGTACGCCGGGCTTGGGAGACTCCTGGAAGTCTCTACCTCCTATTGCGCCAGGCGTAATGATGATACGTCAGGCGTGTAAGAACTTTAGAGCTCTCGGGTTGGGTTCAGGCTAGACGCGAGTTTAATTGTGTCGGGCGTGGAAGTGTTTTACTCTATGACTCAGAAAATGTTGAATTTTGTATATGATGAGAAGATGTTAAGTTGAGTTATGGTGTATGTTGATTATGTTGTTAAAGATGTTAAGTTGAGTTGTGCTGTATGTTAATTATGTTGTTAAAGATGTTAAGTTGAGTTGTGTTGTATGTTGATTATGTTGTTAAAGATGTTGAGTTGAGTTGTGTTGTAAGCTGATTAAGCTGTGATGATGAGCTGTTGATCACTAGGACTGGAGGAGATGTTTTTGAATTTGCTCATCCCATTGTGAGAATTGAGAAGCTGTGGTGCTTAGAGAGCCCAATTTGTTGAAAACCCTCATTGGAAAGTTGTCCCTTGGAGTGGTCATTGTGTTGCTCTCCTCTAGTACTTAGTTGGTCCCGTGTGTGGGCAAGGTCGAGGCACCCGTGTACAAAGCGACCACGGTATAGGGCCAGGTCGAGCTATATCGACCTTATTTTCTTACCTTTCTGTACTTATTTTAATCTCTGATTTGTGCTTAATTGTTTATATTCTGTACTATTTTCTATTTGGGCTTTAATTGGACCGGTAATTCATATTTTAACTAATTTGAATTTTCTGAATCTAATTATTCCAATTTTTATTTTCAGGGCAATTTAATAATTATTTGGGGCTTGGAATTAATTTTTTGGACTTCAAGAGGAACTGCCACGTCATCTGCCATGTCACCGTTGCACCATTTTCCACCTCAGCATTTAATTTCAATTTGTATTCTATTTTATTGTATTTTCAAGTCTATATATATATATATATATTTGAAAACTAAAAAATAATGGGAAAAAAATATAAATACTATAATAATATAATTGAATACTATTTCCTGTCTTTGTAACGACTCGCCATAGTTCCTATATTTAGAGGAATCATGCTAATGATACTAATCATCTAAGACAAATTACTAAGCTAGATAACAGAATATATACATAAAAAAAGTAATAAAAGAAATTAAATATTTATATACGAAACATTGCACTATGTATATACAGTCATCCAAAATAATACTGCCCTAGTGCTAGTCAAGCACAGACAAAATAGTTATCCAAAATGGTAACTCTGACATGAGAACAAAACTCCACGTCTCGCAATGGTCACAACAACCCTCTCCAACCTAACCCTGACCTGCTCCCATATACCATATGATTATCCCAGTCCATCCACATGGAAACAGAAGGGTAAGTTAGAGTTCAATAAATAACCATACAAGTATAGAATAATAGTCTATACTACACAATTATCCAATCATGTCCCAAGGGACTTCCATCTCAAACAATCATTAACCTATCAATCATGAAGTCAAACACCATGCACTTCATCATAATAGCAATCATGCAATAAATGCAACTCATGACAGATATTAATGCATATCAATCATCTAATGCGTCGTCACGCATTCACCTAGGAGATCTCCATAACAACAGAGCAATACAAGTGACATCCCAATTTTATCGAAACCACCCCAATCATTTTCATGCCCAATGCGTCCATTCGGTCACAGCTAATCAGGATATACATCTTCACTCGAGTTTACTCGGATGATGTCACTTACACACTTGGAAGTCTAGTTCCACCGTCAGGTATAACACAACTGCGTACAGGCTTACCACGACCTTGACATTCATTACCAAGTCACTTGTAGAGTTCGCCCACCAACTATCCGCAAGGAACCACGTACCTTCCACAGTACTTGGTTAAAGGAATAAACCTCGACCTCATAGCCCGCTCCAACACTAGCTAGGGATTTAGAGAAGACTCACCCAAACCAGTGGCCTATCCAAACACCACTCTCACCCAAAACCAGTGACCTATCCAAGCACCACTCTCATCCAAATTAGTGGCCTATCCAAGCACCACTCTCAAGAGACTCTATGTGAGCTCTTCCAGTTCGAAAACATTTTCTCTCTCCTCAAGTCCTAGGCTAGACACATGTCACAAGGTATCACATGCAACAATGCATCATACATCATACATGGTCAATCCACCAATATGATCAATATTATTTTCATATAAACATACATATATGAACCAACTATACATTATAGTATCAAACAACCTTTTAATCGACATGATAACAACTTAACACATCAAAACAACATGCATCTCCCTTCGACAACTGTCAAAGAAAACAACATCCAAAGAGTTATACTCATCCAAATAAGCCCAAAACTATCTCAAAAGAAAGATAAGAGGATTTCCTACAACTCTTATGAAGACATCAAGTCCTAATTCCATCATCTATATTGTCAAAACTTACAAAAACCGCAACAACTATAACTAATGCTGATAGCTTGACCACTATTCACTAAAACAACCATATCTAGAGTTATAGACCTTCTTTTTAGGTGATTCCAATTACATTGGAAAGCTAAGATCCAATGATACAACTTTCATGAAGACCATAAAGTCAAATTCTGAAAGCATGAAAGCGCTCAGTGCCTCCAAAGCACTCAACGCTTTACCTCTAGGAATTTGCCCCTAGCTCACGGCCCCCAAAGGGCTCAGCCCTTCAAAATGAGTCAACTGTTTCAAAAGCGCCCAGCCCTTTGATTCCAGAAACCCTCCTCTGTCACACAGCCCCTAAAGGGCTCAACCCTTTAAAACGACTCAGTCGTTTGATGATAGAGGCACCATGTTCTTCACCATTTTTGGACCTCGACACCTGAAACTCATAAAAGAACCCACATGCAATTGAGGAGATAGAATCCATGCACCAAAAATAGTTCAATTCAAGTCTTAGAAACAACATGCACTCATCTGATGTATCAAATCAGCCAAAACTCCGTTTTAGCCTGAAAACCCCAAAAGTTGGAAAGAATCCCCCAAATAATCAACCTCCAATTCATGCATCAATTGAGTTTCTAAACTCACATGCAACCAATCTATCACAATCCTAGCTTCCCTTACCTTAAAATTGGCTCAGAATAGTCAAGAAGAGGAGGAAGAAGAAAAATTCCTAAACGGTCGACCCGCAGACTTCAATTTGCCAAAATCAAGCTTTCTAGCCTGAATTCAAAGAAAAGACAGAAAAGATTAGTGATTTAGAAGAGAAGAAGAATCAAACAAAAAAATTTGGGAGAAAAAGGAGCTCACGGACCCAGAACCATTCTCTCTAAAACTTCTCTCTAGAATTCCTTTGAGAATGAGCTTATGAGACTTCATTCTCAGGGAAAACCTTATATACTCTTCTCTCCAGTATCTACTAAACCCTGAACCAACTTATTATGTTACAGTCTTATTTATGAAATAAATAAATAATAATATTAAATGCACTATTGTTTGTTTGTTTATAAAAAAGATCTGGAATAATACTTTATTAATATTTAATACTAATATTAAAATATGTTAGTTATAAAAATAATGAAATTAAGTATTAAATATTTTAATTTGTATATATTTATATTAAATATTCAATGAAATTTGTATAAACAAAAAAGAAGTAATAACGTGTTAGATTCGTAAGATTAAAATGAGAGTTATATATATATATATAGTTTTAAATATTCTAATTTTAAATGTAGTTTTAATTGGAAGAAGGTGCTCTAGTCCACCTTGACGTATAAAAAGAAAGAAATTCATGTAATTCAATAAAATGATAAGAATTGGGAGTTAGGTGAAAATAGGAATTGGAAAGAAGAGTTGTGGAATGATCCAATAAAAGAGAGCGTGGGACCCGCATGCATTGTCTCCCTGTTCTTATCTCCACTTTCACTCCGCTCATACTGCCACGTGTCTCGTGTCTTCCTTCTTCACTTGCTCACGCTTCTCTCTCTCTCTCACACACACTCACACCCACCCCAACCCTAACCCTCTTTCTTCCTTTCTTCAATTCCTCACTCATTCGCCACCAAACCTCTCTCATCAAACCTAAACACAACTTTAAATTATCAAATTAACTAAAACATCTCAACCAACAAACCTAAACCACTTAGATGAGGTTGCCACTCTAGTACCATACAAATTAACTCTTCAATTATCTTCTACTGCTACAAAAGTTAATCCACTTTTTTATTTATTTATTTATTTATATATATATATTTTTTTTTCTTCTCATTTTGTTAGGCTAGTGTTTTGTGGTGTTGGTATTCTATTTGTTTGATGATAAGTGTGGTCTAGTATGCTTGATCTTTTTCCCAAAACCTGAACTCCAGTTTGTTTGTTTCTTTATTTATTTCTTCATGCAGTTCAGTCCAATGGCATTTTGCTCTGAAATGGGAACTTGAATATTTCTCTTTGGTGCGTTCCATGCGTATATGATCCAACTGTATCAACGATTAAGTGATGGGGGGTATTTGTTCTAGGAAGAGAGATCAACAAGTCCTGGATGATGATTTACACACAGGATTTTCGGGAAGGTATTGTAGAAGTTGTAGCACAAAATGGTCGAGGGCCAGGAGTTTACGTTCTAAGGCAAATCATTGTCCTGGAAGGGGAACCTGCCCCTCCCTCATGGATTTGTGCATAAATAAGATACGTGAGGTGCATGTTTTTGCCAGCTTTATTGTTTTGCTTTCCTTATTTTGTCGTCACATGGTACTTGATCCACATGTTTTGAGTTATAACAGGATTTTCATAAATACAATTCCTTTTCAATTCTTCCAAGAGACATTAGCCAGCAAATCTTCAATGAATTGGTTGATTCTCATTGCCTGACGGAAGCATCTCTCGAAGCTTTCAGAGATTGTGCTCTTCAGGTACTGTCAAGAGGCTTGGTGGAATTGGACGTGTTGCTTAGCTTTGAGTGTTCAGTGCTACAAATTTCTGTTACAAAGATGACCCTACTTATCTGATGTGTGCTCTGCATGGCAGGATATTGACCTTGGTGAATACGTTGGAGTGCATGATGGTTGGATGGATGTTATCTCTTCGCAAGGGCTATCTTTACTTTCGGTTGATGTTTCTGGTTCTCAAGTAACAGATAATGGACTGCGACTCTTAAAGGATTGCTCAAATCTTCAAGCACTGGCTCTCAATTACTGTGACCAATTTTCAGAATATGGACTCAAATACATTAGTGGTAGCGTTACTATTCTTATGATTAGATTTTTCTGACCAGAATGCAATTATTATTTTATTAACATAGGAAGATTGTACAAATGATCCAAATGAGATTGGTGGGGCTTGGTGCTGAGGTTAATGGTATTTAATACCAATCTTGCATTCTATTTGTATGAAAACTATGAATCTTGTATTGTTGTTTTTATCTTATCCTTTTTGTTAAACAACCAATTCTATTGTGTTGTCACAAAAATTTTGGTGTATCTTACAAAAGAAAATTGGGGAAATTCATTCATGTTAGTATATAATTTACCTTAATTATGAAATGATTCTGATTGATCTTTTCATGACCTATTCAAAATTATTTCAGAGCTGTACTGGTTATACTTTTCTGCCTTATTTAAACTCCTTCCTTCTGCTCACCGACAAAAGTATATCCAATTGCATTGCTGAATATTAAGTTATTTGACACAGCTAGGCTGTGTCTTCAAGATCTTGAAGTTAAATGACTTGTACTAGTGAAACTTTTTCAGAGGCTGATTTTAGTTATGTAAATTTTCTCACTGACCTTTATTTTGCGTGTCATTGCTTGTGGCAGTGTGTGGCATGGTGTTCAGAATTATTTTTAGGGATCAAGAAATTATTGTTATTTTTGCATATAATTGTGGTCATATGAATATTAATGACAAAATTCAATTTTGAAATGAAACCCTTATTGAACATTATGTAAAATTGGATGTGTGCAATCAATAGAATGATAACATTATTTGTTCTGTAATAAGTGGATTAGGTTTAGTTTAACTTGCTACAGGTTCAAGAGTCCTGTTTGATTAACATAAACAATCAATGCCAATTTGTTTGTGTAGGTCTTTCAAACTTGACTTCCTTGAGTATCAGGAAGAGTAGCACTGTCAAACCTGATGGAATGCGTGCTTTCTCCAACTTATTTAATTTGGAGAAGTTGGACCTTGAGAGGTGTTCAGAGATTCATGGTGGATTTGTTCATCTTAAAGGTTTCTATCCTTGATTTCACGCTCATTTATATGCTAGAAATTAACTTGTTCCTGATGTAATTGATATTGTTACAAAACAAACTCACCATCTGGTGATCTGAAACAAAGTTGTTTGTTGATATATAGTTAGGTATGAGATATAGATGGCTGATTGGGTGGTCTGACATGGACTCTATCAGTCTAGAAGATGAGTATGATCATTATTCTGTATAATGGGTTGCTTGACATGGACTTTAAAGTTAATATTAGATGATTCTTCATCATTATTGGTTAATGGGGGCTAAGTGTGCTTGGTTGTTGGTGCTGTTGCATGTGCTTAATGGCGATGAGAAGTTCTACTTTGTTCAATGAATGTTTTTTTTTTTTTGGGTACAAAATGTGTTTAGGGGGAGGGGAGGTTGCCTCGGGCCAATGTTAGGGCATGCCAAGGAAGGGTGAAAATTACCTACCAATGGAGGACTGCCAACAGGAATTGATCCCTGTTCCTTTGAATCAAGTCTGTTTGATCCTACCAGTTGAGCCAACCTTCATTGGCTTTTCTTTAAGGGACTTATTATTTAGATATTATCAGATGTTATCCTGCTTAGAGTGACCTTTTGTTGAAACTTAATTATGGAATTAGTAGGTTATAGATTTATTTTCTTTTGGTTTTTCTTTAAATACAGGTTTGAAAAATCTTGAGTCACTTAACATTGGATGCTGTAAATGTGTTACAGATTCAGACATGAAGTCTATCTCAGGTATTTGTCATAACTCATTAGATGGAATGATTTTTATCATAGTTGCATTTCAGGTTTATTTATGTTGTAAAAAGGCAGTATTATTGTGTCTGTGCATTGTGTTTCATTCACGAGTTAATTATCTGAACTAAAGCTTTTCTGTGACATCCAGTGTCTTTCTTGCATTGGCTCTTATTCCTAGTTGGCAAATAGGGATGACTAAACCAAAAACTTGGTGGGGGAACATTGTTCTTCAAATTTGAATTTCTATTTTTTGGATGTCACTTAAATCAACTCCTGCTTGAGCTAATTAATCATCAGTTCTTACTTTTATATTCAGAAAGCTAGTTCATGATCTTTTTGAGCTGACGGCATATAATGTTTCAGAGCTTATAAATTTGAAGGAGTTACAAATTTCCAACAGCAGTATTACTGATATTGGGATTACTTATTTAAGAGGTAATTTTTCCCTAGTGTTTGTCATGCATTACAAGTGTCTTAACATGATTATTACTGCTATTATTTTGTGCACATGATCACATCTCTATTTGTCAATGTCTGCTTTCAAATGAAAATATCATTCTGTTACTATAATCAAAATAGAGTTTTAGTTTATTGAATAAGTTCATAATGCAGTTTTCTTTATGCATTATGTTATTCTGTTTTCTGCAGTATGCATTACCTGGGTATTCCTTTTTGGCTTTCTGATTTACAGGTTTGGAGAAGCTTACCACATTAAATGTTGAAGGATGCAATATTACTGCTGCATGTTTTGAGTCTATTCACGGTATAAACAAATTCTCATTTTATTCTTTCTTAATTTTAGACAGCAATTTTATTTGTTTTGGAAGTCATTATGCAATGCATGAGCTTTCTGTCATTTTTATTTGGAAAAATTAAGGATGTGACTAGTTCAGCATGCAATCAAATGGTGCTAAATCTGCAAAGACTGTTTGAACTTGGAAACTCATTTTGTTATTATTCCAATGCCTAAAATTTTCCTAGTTAGTTTTTTAATCATATTTTATATTTTATTGGTGCAGCCTTAGCTTCCTTGGCATGCTTGAATCTCAACAGATGTGGTCTCTCTGACGATGGATTTGAGAAAATTTCTGGTAACTTTGATATTTAATGACCAAATTTGAGGACTTCCGGTGTTATGTTCTTATTGCTCTAAGGATGGCAAAGCATCAGATTCTTGGCTTTACAGCATACACTCCCTTTCCTGCAGGTCTTAGAAGCTTGAAGAGGTTAAGCCTGGCTTTTAACAGGATCACAGATGCATGTTTAGTTCATTTGAAAGGTACTTAAAACGTCAATATCTTATAAGAGTGACTATTTTATCCGCAGCTGCTTCCCTAGATCAAGTCTCTTTATTTTTACAATATTTATGTGGATTTGTTTCTTCAATTTCTTTTCTCCTATTCAGATGTTGAAAATATGATGAGATGAGCTTTTCCCTTTGTTTTTTTTAATTCATTTTACTTTCAATAATTTTACATTAACATTGTAAGTGATATTCCCCATGCTTTTTTTCTATCACTAAAATATCCTAACCATTATAGACAAAAAGGAGAGGTAGAAAACCTTTTCTACATTATAATTTTTCTTTAAGAACCCTTCAACTTCAAACATTGACATTATTAAATGAATTAATGCAATTTTTGAAGTAAATGTATTATAAATAAATACAAAGTATGGAAAAATAAAATATTTTGTAGGTGTTAAGCCTCAAATATCTCTTTTCACTGTACATAATTTTCATAGAAAATTATTGTCACTATTATTATGTGGTACATGAGTTATTATTATTAACATCTGCATAACATCTGTTTTGATGATATCTTACCCTTCTCTCATTGTAATTACCCTCCCTTCTCTAAAGGTCATATAAAAGGACACACAAAAGTGAAACGAAAATTGAAAAGCACAAATAATTTATTAGGTGCATATTTTATTACAGTCTTCAAATTTCTCAAAAAAAAATTGCTCTTTTCATCTCTAAAGCTACTGACACTTAACATTTTTAAGTGCTTTTAACTAGTTTCATACTCCACAATGTGGGTCATTAATGGTGGGACATTGACTATCATCATGGATGCAACTTGTTCACAGTACTACCTTTTCATATTATCCTTTATATCATTAATGTTTATTTTTATTTTTTTTTATTACAGGTTTAACAAATTTAGAGTATTTGAATCTGGATTCTTGCAGAATAGGTGATGATGGGCTTTCTAATTTGACAGGTTTGCGCTAAATTTTACCTTTCTTCCTTTTGGTAGATTTAAATGACTATTACATTATTGAAGCTTATATAGACTTGTTATTCTTTTTTAATGTTTTCTCTATCTGTGCTCGGGGATATATAACATGAGGCATTGTGGCTTTATACCTTGATGTCATTTTTGGCTGAACAGCATTAATTTTATGATTCAAATCCTCCTATCTTGTGAGAGCATAAAAATTGAGATGGAACAGAGCCATATGGAACTTGGCATAAACCAACTGGAATATTTGAATTGGGTTTTACAAAATTATCATGGGAATTTAAGCCAGCATTTGGCCTTGACCTTGTGTTTAGAGTGTAGATATACATATGCTTGATCTGGTGGTTTTAATTCAGTTTTGCTTATACTTTTACTTTTTCCTTTTAATTTCTTTAATTTGTTCTATCATAATATTTTCTGAAGGTGGGGAAGATTCTGATTCGTCTAAAAATCTGAGATTTTAGGAATCAAATATTTTGATTTGAAGAATCACCTTTGGCATGAAATTTATAGTTATTTATTCTTGCAGGCCTCACACTCTTGAAAAGTCTAGTGTTGTCTGACACTGAAATTGGGAACAGTGGGCTGCGATATGTATCAGGTTGATGGACAGAATCCTGCATATAGTTTTTATCAAATAAAAATATAAACTCAATAATTATTGTGAATATATTTGCAGACAAGAGTTCAAATTAGATCATTGATATATTACTATATTTGTTGGTTATGCTTCACTGCTAGAAATATTGAAGTACTGATGCTACGCCTATGTATGTCTTATAATATTATTCATTATCTTATTTAGTTTGCTCATGTTGTCAGCTTCTGGCAAGAAAATTGGCATCTTATGATTTAATCTACCATTATTGCGTTAAATCTGAAGCTTAGTCTTGGAATGCGATCATAGACTGTTGTATATTTTAGTAGTATGTTGGAAGATAAATTTCAGGAAGTCCTTTGAGTGACCCAAATATGTTATTATTTTAAAATTATCTCTATGTTACCGATCTGGCCTTCCATTTAGTTTGATTCAAAACATCTTATATGGTTTCACCACTTCTTTCCTTAAACTAAACACTGTCCAAATATAAATATCTATCTGATAAGTATCAACCTATCAGGATTGACACATCTTAAATCACTTAATCTGATAGTGTGTTGTTAGATATAAGTATCAACCTATCTATCTGATAGTGTGTTGTAGATATCTTTATAGAAAATACATAAAATGCATGTGTTGATTATGTGGATTCTTGCTTTTATCCAGGTTTAAATAAACTGGAAGATTTAAATCTGTCATTCACCACAGTAACCAACCATGGCCTGGAAAGGCTGTCAGGATTGACACATCTTAAATCACTTAATCTGGATGCCCGACAGATTACTGATACTGGACTCGCAAATCTTACAAGTAAGCATGCGTACATTCATGTATCTACCATTTTTTTTCTTTGGGCTTAACTACACTTTTGGTCCTTCTAGTTTAGACTGTGATTTTAGTCTCCCAAGTTTTTTCCAAACAAATCATGCCCCTCCAATTTTAAAACTCAAAACCCATCGAAATCTTATTTTCTATTCAAATAGTTGGGTATTTATGATGGATTTAGGATATGGAATTGTTTTTAAACTTTTAAAGTTATAAATTTAGTGGAAACTTGATAAACTTTTGTAATTGCTCCGATCCTTATTAGACATGATTTAGAAAGAAATGATGATCCTATTACAATTTCTTTAAGATGATCCTTTTACGATTTCTTCAAAACACTAATTTTATTTTTCATCTTTTGTCCCTATTAAAGATTGTGTTTCTTCTTGTTGAATAATGAAAGGAGAATTTGAGAAATAAATGATCTTTCTCTTGCCTCTTAAACTCCTCAATTGTCATTTATCAATGTTATTAGTGCTTAAGCTTTGATTTGGAGTGATATTTTCACCTCTCCTTAATTTAATGATAACTAAAAAGAGTAAAATAGGTACATCATGATTTTCTTTTATAAAACCAAATAAAATAATTAATTATATTGGTCTATGTGATTTTGTTGAAAGTTCCTTATAATAAGGACCAAAGGGAGTTTTAGGGTTTGAAGAAGAGGAAAATTTTGGTTTTTTATTATTGGTGAAATTTGATATTCTACTTGGTGAGTTTTGAGCCAAAGGATGTTGAAAACGATTTATTTAATTCAATTTATGAAGACTGGGTAGAAAATGAGAATTTGAGAGTTTTAATCAAAAGGAAAGTTACAAAAGGGACTTAATTGAAATAATTAAAAAGATTGAGAGTTAAATTCACTCATAAAATTATTGGAGGACCACAACTATGCATTAGCAATAATAGATGAACTAAAATTACAATTAAACTTTGTTTTTTGGATTCACCTGCGATCTTTTTATTTTTGTCATATGCACAGTTTTGTATATGTATAGAGGTTAGTGTCTAGTGTTGCATATAAAATGTGCTTAAAGACAAGTGTACCTTACCGCAGTAATAACAACAAACAAAGTCTAGATATGGATCCCAGAAAATTAGGTTCGAGCAATTATCGGCCTAATTATGATTTTTAGCGGTTTCAAGGGATAAAAATTTTGTTGTCATAATGTGATAGAAAATAACAATTTTGAAATTAAAGCAGTATTTAGATTGAGTGAGATTCAGAGATTAAAAATCCTAGAGCTGTGACTTATTGTCCCCCATTTATCTCCAAAATAAATTTCACAAATTGTTAAGGTCTTGTCACCAATTTTACTTATGAAATTGTTAACAACCCTTGATCTAGGAAGTCAATAGTCTTTGCCTTTTTAGAAAACTCCAAATTGATTGTAAGAAGTTTATTCATAAATCAAAGCTTGAAAGTACAAAAGCGAGTTAATAAATTAATTCAATTGGAAACCGAGAAAATAAGTTTGGTCATGCAAATTTTCAAGATTTAATTATTTGAGGGTTTTATTAACCAAAAGAGTTTGATCATGCACTTTTAATTAAAAGAGATAAGAATGTGAATACTTAAATAATATGACAATAAACAAAAGCAATTCATTAATTTATTATGGGAGGTTTATGGGAAACAATTACATCACAATTCTAGAACAAGAAAACTAGTCAGACATAATAGGTAAATAACCCAACATGATACTAGAATTCATAAAATAAGAGGAAAAGAATGGAAGAATCCTTCTAGGATTTGGCTTCCTATTATAGAACCTCAATGGGTTACAGAAAGAGAGAAAATATGAAACTAAAATTAAAAACTAGATGGTAAAGATGTGGTCTGGACATTCTCATTTATAGTCAAAATCAGGGAGAATATTTAAACATGGTCATGCATCTCAACAAGCAGAACAGTGTTCGCTAGCCAAGGACATGTTTCCTCATCAATAAGGGATGCCTCTTCAGACAGGGGGTGTTCCAATGGGAAGCACGTCATGCACATAGGCAAGCACAACCGTGCTTGGTACATGGGCTTGCTCTTTTAGTAGCAAGTTGAAGCACACCCATGCTTCGGGCAAGTACAACCTTGCTTCAGGCAAGCACGACTGTGCATAGCTTTAAAGTTCATATTTGCTCCCATTTGTTCCTTGAGTGCATTGAATTTTCTCTTTTAAATATTTTACTTGTTTGTTGCACACTAACACAAAAAAGCTAAGTTTTGCCAAAGAAATAACTGTAAAAGAAGACAAAACAGCAGCAAATAACATGTTAATATGTAACATTTTGTGGGTTTAACATCTAGTTGTGAGCAATCATCAATATTAAAACTTGCCAAGGTGCTATTCTTTAAACCTATCAGCAAGTTCTACAGTGTAATCCAAGTCTGACACCTAGACCTTGTCAAGGTAGGGTGCCAACCCACAACATTTTGCTAGTTGCAACATTAGATCTTTGATTGAAATAAAGGTTTTACTCTTGACACTACCCTGTATACATTGCATTCAAATCCAAAACTAGATCAAAGCAATCATATATTGTGTTTACCCTAGCTGTCCAGGGTCGTGTTCCTTTTGTATTAGGTGCTGGCTATAAGATATTTTCTTTTCTCTTTTACTGTAATTAACTTTTGTGCAAACTGTGATTAATTTTGCTTGTGTCAATAGCTTCAATACTTGCTGTATGATTGGCCCATGTCCTTAACAGGTCTGAGTGGATTGATATCGTTGGATCTCTTTGGGGCACGCATTTCAGACTCTGGAACCACATATTTACGATGTATGTATCAATTTTAGACTGTAATTGATTTCCTTTTTGGTGTATGCAATTGCTAACGGTAGATTTTTTTAACCTACCTGATTGCTTGTTGACTTTGTTAACTAGTAATAAGATATAACTGAGTAGTCAATATTTGAAATGGCCAAATGGGATTGCATGAGTAATAATGGGGATTCTGGGCATTTATTTCCCCATGGTATACTTTTTAGGATATTTGGTGTTTACCGAAAAGGTATTGGGCTGCACACTTTGATTTTTTCTTGAACATGTTCTAATTAGTCCAGAGAATAAATGAAGCTACCTAGTATGTTGTGTTTGTGTTCTTTATTATATATTTATTATATGAAAAGTCTAAAACTGCTGAACTGAACAAACAAGTCTTTGTTAAACAAGTGGTGCCAAACCAAGCTATCTTACTTCCACTAGTGGTTTCTGTTTTGTAACATTTTCCCTTCTACTTATAAATTTGGTGCTGAATCTTTTCTCTGCCTGTAGACTGATGAAAATCTAATTTTACGCGTTCCCCTCTAGAATATGCTGTAAATTGAATGGAAAATTTTGGTTTATATTATCTTTTAAAAAAATTCTCCTTTTTTAGCTATCATAATGTCGTCATTTAACTTGCTGCAATCACCAATAAATTCATGTTTGTTTCATTATGTCAAATTGTCTATACTTGAGAGCAAACAATGTACTGATCCAATACAAAAACAATAAACTGAGGCGGTACTACTCAGAAATCCAATTCAACACCAGCTCACATTTTTTTCTTCTTCATTTGTTTATTATATTGTAAGAAATGAGCACTGATTAATAATGGGAAAATATGGGTTTACATAACCTTGTGCCCAAGGTTATCTTGCTGGCTTAAATTTAAGTTCCTCTCTTTTTCTTTTCATCCATCTTGCAGCGTTCAAGAACTTGCAATCCCTTGAAATATGTGGCGGAGGATTAACTGATGCCGGCATAAAAAATATAAGAGAAATTGTCTCCCTCACACAGCTAAATCTGTCCCAGAATTGCAACTTGACAGATAAAACTTTGGAATTGATATCTGGTATTTTCTGCTTGTCTTCATTACTTTATAGTTTATATACTCCTTGAAATTTCATTTAAAAAATAATTGTTTGGCAAATGTATGCAGACTCTACACAGTAACTTGAATTTGAATGGCTAGTCAATGATCTATTATCTCTTGCAAATTCAATTTGGCTGTTAATTAAGCACCACATGTAATGTGCGGTTGGCACACTGACGTGATATTTTCTCAATCTTTTGTGCGAAAGGGTGTTATAGCTGTAAGCACTACCGGAACACACGTAACCCATTGATCATTGGCAACTGAGTACCTAGATAATTAGAATTAAATATGAAAGAAAAGAAAAATTAGATGGAGAATATTATTCGTTTGTATTGATTTTTAATTTTAATTCATCCCCTTGCCCTGTAATTGGATGAAATAAATGTTTGTTCTGTTTTGGTTAACACATTTTTGTATATCTTTATATTTGAATACAGGAATGACAGCACTGAGGTCGCTAAATGTTTCAAATTCTCGTATAACCAATGAAGGACTACGGTATCTGAAGCCTTTAAAGAATTTACGCACTCTTACCTTGGAGTCTTGCAAGGTTACTGCTTCTGAAATTAAGAAGCTTCAGTCAACTGATCTTCCAAATTTGATCAGCTTTCGGCCAGAATAGACCAGGAGAATGAGAGAATTATGTTATCTGCCTTGTGAACAATTCTCTGTACATATTAAGGATCTGTTTGGATAGTTAAGAAATGTACATAAAATTGGCATGCAAGAATGTAAGTATGCTTTATTTTGCATGTTTGTATTTCCCAGTCTAAGAAAAATTGTACAAAAATCTTTATTTTCCACTTTCTCCCCTGGGTGTAGCTGATTGGTGGGGCTATCTGTAGTATCTGTGCATAATGTAATAACATTCTGATATGTGTAATGAGGATGTTTGGACCCGAGTTATGGTGCGCGTTATTGTATCCGTATGTAATGAATTGTACTTGACCGAGAAGAGAATTGTGCCCGTTGACTAGCTTTTATTGTGCTGTTTGCTCATAATTGTGCTGATTAAGGACTGTGTTCCTGAGAAAATCATATTTACAAGTGTTAGTAATCCACTCTCACACTTTGGACACAGTTGAAATTTATTGAAAAGTACACTACGAACTTGCAAGTTCTATTTATGATTTAGTAGTTTGTGAGTGTGTTAATACATTATAAAATGTGTCCCTACCATTTCTTTGTTTATAATATAATGAAACAGTTAGAGCCAGCGGGTCCTGTGTGCAACTTTTTTATGGGGATATTTTTTTCTCGGGCGAGACTATTTAGTATCCGAAAGCGTTTGTTTTTCAGTTTCATCTTCTAATGCTCTTTGATCCCAGACTCTAACTATGATGGCTTTGCTGTAGTGGCTACTGGTGTTTGTGTTTGTGAGACGCATTCTATATTTTATGTTTCATTTTATTGTTTTATCATCGTATCATGTCTTGGCCTTGAGCAGATAAGTATTTCAACTGAGCGTAAATAACATCATCCTGTTATAATGTTCGTGATTGTTTTACTCGATGCCAGTCGTGTAGCACGCCTTCCAACTAGTAAGTAGTAACTAAGCAGATAAATCTGATTCAAAGAGTAAACTTGCTGGGACCACTGTATTATTCTGAGTCAATTAGTTTAAATTATCACCTTCATCAATACCATGTATCGATAAGAAATAAAATCTACACGTTAAAGAAGTTTAAAACATATCTATGATATTTTATGTAGAATGCATTACAACCCGGTAAGCTTAATACTCTAGTCTAGTACGTGCAAAACTCATTCAGAAAGAGACTAACCCAACAAAGAACAAAGAGTAGTGGCAACTTACAAATGGATAAATAACAGAAGAAAAAAGAACATGTATCTTCCGCTGCTTTTGGTACAAATTCAACATCCTATAGCACTAGAAATCTAATAATTAAAGGGAAGGCAAAATGAGCAAAGGCAGAAACTAAGTAAAAGGCAATTCCTGCTACGCCATCTTCCCAATGTGTAATGGAACTTGTAGATTCTTGCGTTCTAGGAAATGCAAACGCCATCAAAAGAAAAATTTCTTCAAGTATAATATTGAACCCAAATTCTTAAGTAGCAACAATAACCTGCAGCATAGACAAACAAAGGTTGTCATCAAAGATGACAATAATAATATTATGAACAAGGGAATCATATCATAGAAAGGATTCATGGATGGTAAATAATATAGTTAAGCAATGGGAATCATGTACATAACTAAAGCTTGCTCTGTGATCATTAAGTTGCAGTGGAGTAGTGAAAATCACTTCAAACATGCAATTTTAGGTTCAGATCAGTAAACTTAAATTTATCTAGCATTTAATAATTGGTTCCTCTACTATAACAAATAGAGCCATAAACAATGACAGCAGTACAAATTGGCAGCATTATTCATGATATCATTCATTAGAAGATAACCAATACCTAAAATAATAGTCACCATTGCAAATGGTGACTAGTCATGGAGTTTTCCATTGTCGTGATGGTGCCAATGGCAACAAAGATGTGTCATGGCCACACTATGTTGAGAAAGACGCATAAAGGTGTTTACTGAAATAATAGCAGCCAAACATGTTTCTCAAATATGAAAACTTAAAAATGAAAATAGAAAATGTCGACTTTGGAATATAAACATATTTATTAGATCTAATGGAAGTAAAAAGTAGTTCTACGAAACCTGCTTTTTTCCGCAAAAATCAGTTTTGCCAAAATATGCAGGGTAAGATGAAGCAATCTCAACTCATTTATCATATAACATCTTAAAACATTTCACGTATTACTTTCTAGAATCATATAGACTTGTATTTTGCATGAACTTAAAGAGCATATTTATTAGAAATACAATCTAAAACCTCTAACAACCATTTTCTACTGTTACCAAGTAATGGATATACTGAATAACTTGTGCATGTAAAATGAATTTTGAAGATACTGCTCTACAAAAGTTTAAGCAAGTAAAAAGTGAAACCATTTGCACCAAAACATTTTAGACAGATGCCAATGATTTCTAAAGCTACTAATAGAAGCTCAAATCTATAAGACACTATCGCAAGATGCAGTCATAAACTCTTTCAACACAATAGATATGTAAACTACTCGACTATATCATTATATGTTATAGACAACCAAATGATCCACTACTTAAAGAACATAAACAGAATGAACATTATTAGTATGGTTGAAGATTCTCTTCTCGGTTACCTTCCGATGATAATAGCATTTCAGGCACAGAAGCAGCCCAAGTGACTGTTGGCTCTGTCACTCTTCAAGTACTAGAAGAAAAACAGGCAACTCATGCAAGCTCAAAGGCATGATAAATTTTTGAAACTCGCCTTCTAAACAAGGGTTCCAAACGAAATGATGGAACTCCACCCTGCCACTTTTTAGCTTTGTACATCTCATTCCATGCCTGTACTATTTCATCAATTTTGAAGGCAAGACCTGTCAGTGAAAAAGTTAACACATGAATATATATCATTATATCTACATAGCTAAAAGTTTCTAATTAGCTTGAAAACATACCATCTACTGCAGTATCATTTGAACAGTGATTCTTCAAAATTACAGCTATATCTGTTGGAGAAGCTCCTGCAAGTTCAAACTTATTGATTGCCACTTCAAGAGATTCATGCCATATTGGTAGCCCTAATTTGAATTCAACAATTGAGCGTTCATATAGCATGGTACCCCATAGGAGGTTTATTTGAGACCTCATATGTGTCTCCTGTGCGGCAAGTTCATCTAAGGATACATTTTTCAAAATCCCATCCAACCCCGTGTTTTGCAAATGTACTTTAACATCATTTGATTCAAATGTTTTACTCAAGTTCTGCTTTTCTGATTCTTCCCACATCTGCATTCCTTTCTCCATATTTTCCTCCGCATTGTTGTAAAGATGAAGAACCTCAGTGGAAGGCCATGTCAGCAAATCTACATTACCACTGAGTGCATGATACCAAGAAAGTTTTGCTTGCTCAAACTGCTGCAGCCCTAGTGCCAGGAAGCCTTCATGAAAATCTGACTTAATCTTAATGGCTGCTTCATATTTTTCTCCTGCTTTTGAATATTCTTCCAGTGCCCATTCATATGAACTTTTGATTTGTTCACATAGTTGCTCTTTAGAAGAATCTTCTCTGAAATATACTTTCTTCCTTGCCCTAGACATATGCACATTTCCCCAGTTGAACAATGCAAGAGCAGTCATCTCTTGGAACTTATCACCTGCCATGTCAAATAGGCCTTGTGCTTCTTCACTTGTAACAGTCTCCTCCAAAGCCTCAGAATAGAGCTTCATCCCAAGTTCATGAAAATCCAAATATCTGTCAGATTCAAACCCAACATGGTTCTTGAACAGCTTGGCAAACTGAATTATCCAATCCTCAATGCAAGAAGAACCAACAATTTCCTTTGCTTTTCCCACACAACCATTCTCAGATGCACCATTAATGCTAACCATTTTCCCCACCTTTACTTTAAGTTTCTCAAAAAGTAGATCCTGCTCAGGAGTAGCTTCTACGATGTACAGCCGCATAGAACCATGAGATTCTGTTTCAGCCCACCTTAATTCATCATCAGAAGTGATCGTGACCAAGTCACCTTCTTGGTCTCTGTATTTGACAAGAACAGCTCCTAGGCTTGGGAATCGATCATAAATAACTTCTCTTAACTGGAAAAGGCTACAATTAAATGGAATTTCAGTGCATCTTATATCATCACCAAAAATAAGTTTAGCTGTTTTCTTAGGAACATCTTCCCTTCTACCATTACTTCTTTCCTCAATAACTTCCTTGATTTCGGCCTTCTTCTCGTCAATTTTTTCCTTGGCCTTCTTCTTCTTGGACGCATTGATCTTCTTCTCTACAACTATAACACTGCCCCCACCCTCAGCCTTCTTCTCCTCAAATTTCTCCTCAGTTTGCTTTTCTAGAATTTTCTCATCAGGAGCTTTCTCTTCCTCTCTATTGGCCTTCTTCTTGCGTGTCTTCTCTTTCAATACCTTTTCTGGAGGCAAAGCATTAGGAGGTTCAACATAATCAGGAGACAACTCAATTATTGTATCATCTACTCTCAACCCTTTCTCCTCAAGAACATTTTTCACCTTTTCTAAGATCTCCAATGCCATGAGATTATTTGGCTCCATCTTCACAACAGTGGTGACATCTCTCAGAGCTAAATCGAGCCTATTTAAAGCCTCATAGCACCTTGCCCTCTTCAACAGAGCTTTACTATATTTCGGAGTTACCTCAAGAGCCAAATCACATTCATGTATAGCCCTAGGGAACTCACTGAGTCCCATTTGCATGTAACATGCAGCCATGTTGCTACGTAGATAGGACACATCAATATGATTTTTCGGAAGCAACTTGAGGGCTTTCTCATATTTCAGCAGAGCCCCTTCAAGATCCCTCTTTTGGAACAGCTTGTTCCCCTCATTCTTCAATTCTTGAGACATGGATATAAATACCATAGTATCATTGTCATATGCTCCGGGGCCACTATCTCCCACTTTACCATCCTCCCTTATTTCTCCTACCTGCTTCTTTTTCTTCCCCATTTTCAACCCAACAATCCAACAGTAAGAAAACTAATCCAAAGTTTCCAACAACAACTTCTCTTACACCACACTACTCAAAGTTCAATCCAGTCAAACCAAAACCACAAGATAACCAATTAAAAATCCTTCCAAAAAGGAAAAGAAATATACAGACAATTCAATCTGAATTAACTCTAGATATAATTAACATGGAAGTATTCAAAACCTAGGAAATGATGGACTAGATACAACAAACAAGCATTTTATTTTATCATAACCAAGTTGAACAGCTTCATAAATAGAACATACATAGCCTATATGAAGCCCAAGTGAAAGTTGAAGGACGAAATCTAAAATTTTTCTCTTACCATAATGGCTCGAGTAACATATTCAACACAAACGTGTCCTTCCCTCTGAATCAGGACTTGTTTATGCCAACAAAAACCCTATTCCAGAGAGGGACATGGACAACCCAACTGGGATTCAAGTCGAAACAAAACCCCAGAATTTAGGAAGAGAGATACACTTATCTGGGTGACAGATTATGGGAGAAAGCTTCAAGCTTTGGAAGGAAAACCCGAACTCGATGAAACAGCAAGGAAGTTTGAAATGGAAGAAAACAAAGTGGTGTTGGTGTTGTTGCTGTCCTTTTGTAATGTGGAAGAATGGTTTTTCACATTCTTGACGTTAACGCCACAAAAACATTGGACAAAAATCACATAACGTGAGCTTCTTAACTGAACTAAGATTCTGAAATCCCATGCCGATATATTTTAATTTTTCTTATTCTTTTATTATTATCTGGTGGGTCCCATCCTATATGTTGCTAATGAACTAGTAACCATTAATCGAACATCTTCATAATCATCGGAAGCGACAACAACATAAGAAGTTGGCCTTTCACATAAAGCGTACGATTGTTCTTTTCCTCGTTCAATTTTTAATTAGCATTAACGATTTCACATAATTCTCATCCAACTTTAGTATGATTTTCAGACAAAAAAAAGACCATTACATCATTTAGTGATACTCAATTTTGTCACATTTAGATATGTAGTTAGTTGAAGGCTTCTTGATAGTTGAATCATTATAGTATACGATCATTGAATTTAAAAGATTATTAAACAGTTGCCGACCTATTTCAACTATAAACGCAATTGTGTACGGTTTATTTTAAGGGTAAATTTTCGGGCCCTAATAATGAAAATTAGTATAAAAAATGACAAAATATGCTCACAACGAAATAGCCATTGTGACACAGACAGGTGGCAAGGGTGATAAATTAAATAAAAACAAATACAAAACAATGTAGCAGAAGATAACAAGGTAGAAAAACAAGCAAACGGATACAAGTTGGGAAAAAAAAAAGTTAAAATTATAACAAAAATATAAGAATAATTGAATAAAGTGATAGAGTTACCCACCCATATAAAAATTAATGTTTAACAAACCTAACACATCTCTTAAGCAATCTAGTATTTTAAAATTTGATTTTTATCTGTATTAAAATAATATTTAATCAGCAAAAAATATATTATATTAGTTTTTAATTATCAATTTTAAAATATTATATGAATTATTTTTATAAAATAAAAATTATATTATATTAATTTTTAATTATCAACTTTGAAATACTGTACAAATTATATTTATGAAAAAAAATTGACTTATTAATATTAATTGATACAAAATGAACTATTTAGGGCTCTTAATGTCTAGAGTTTGAATTTGACTCTTCACATGCAATAAATTATTTTTTTTTGAAAAGAATACATAAAAGATGTCTAATAAAAATTTTACATTTGCTGGTTGAGATTACCAACACGTTGGTGACTTGGTGGACACAACACTTTCTGAAATTCCTTCCTTTCTTTTAATTAAATTTTATTTTATGGATAAAATATTAAGCGGTGGCAAAAAGAGGGAGAGACACAGATTGGTTGGTGGATAAAGATAAACTTTGGATGGTCCCAAGTCCCAACCCAAACACGGAAAGATAAGAAAAGTAGAAAAGCATGTGAGTAAAGTGATATATCTGGTAACAATGTTTCTGTGGGTTTTTATCACATTTGGGTAATTAAATAATAAAAAATAGGAAATATAATTTTAATGGTAAATACTTGTCTAAAAATTTCAGCAAAATCTTCATTGTTACTTTACATGAGCTTTTAAAATTATATTTAGTCGTATAATTATATAGGACATCTCTAACAAATCTGAATTAAGAAAATTGATTTTGTTCTGTGAGGTGTCTGCGTGAGTGTACTGTGTACGTCAATGCTTGCTTGTACCTAAAGCAACAAGTTTAGTTATAATCCTGAGTTCTTCATTCAGTTAAGAAACAAAGAATCAGAAAAACTACACAGCAAGTAATCTTTTACAAAAATTCTACATTCTGCAATTTATCTGCAACAGAATAGAATCTTGTTCCTTTTTCTTTAAGGATACACATGGTTGGGCTTAAATTTGCTTATACAAAGGTGGAGACAGGTAATAGGTGATTGGGTAATTATATATAAATAAAAATCTCAACTCTCAAGCAAGGAATCTCGCAAAAATATAAATTAAATCTTTCTATTTCATACATAATTAGATTAAACTAAAACAAAATAAGCAAGATTTTGTTGTATAGTTTGTTGATGTTTCAAAAAGTTAATATTATTTTTTAGTTAATTTAGAAAATTATTTTAAAATTAATTTATTGTTTGTCTAAAAATTAGATAGCTTGTTATCTTTTATTTGGTCTTACCTAGTTCATATATAGTTAAATGAGCTGATGAGGTTGTTTCTGTCGACAATTTTTCTCAATAGATATCTAATTTAAGAAAGTTTTCTTTGAGTGTCCCATGCTTCTTTTTTTTATCTCTTTCTTTTGAATTTATGGGTCTATACAAAAACAATCTTGGTTGTTCATATTGTTTTATTGTCTCAACCATTATGAGATGGGCCTATTACAACATCAGACACTTGTACATCACATAGATAAATCTTTTAAGAGTAATGTAAATTCACATTTTTTTAAGACTATTTTTGTTTGTGTACGAAACTGCTCATGAATCATGATCATCCTAATTCGTGAGTTTACAATTAGTAGAAAATCATAATAATGGATAATTAGAATAGCAAATTCAAATAAAATAAATTTTCATCTATTATAAATATAATTATATATATATATATATATATATATATTTAATAGAAATATTTTTGTATATCTTAACAAACTTAATGAACACAATGATATATGATTATTAAATGACAGCTTTTACATCATTAATATTTTAATTAATTTGATAAAAAAAAATGTTAAAATTAAGGAGCGAAATAAAGCTATTTTACTAAATAGGAGACGACAAAGGAATAATGTTCAAGAATGAAAGGGTTTCATACTATATGACAAGCTTGAGAAATGTTCTAGAATCACCTCCTTAATTAGAATAGATGATTTATTTACGAAAAAAAGTCAAAATTCATGAATTTGAGATGTATGTTTTTTTTTTATTTAAGCTAATTACCAAAATAATGTTGAAATGCATCTCTCACATAAGTTATAAAATATCAAAATCCCTAATTAAAAGAGTGAAGAGAATGAGAATTACACTTTATTAAATAATTATTATAATTTATAATAGAAAAATATATTTGATATTTCACGTCTATATTCTCTGTTGCCATTCTTTTGGTGATTATTGTTGGTAGATGTTAGTTTTATTTTTTATCATGTTATTGATATAAAATATTTTATTAATTTTATTGATGATTAATCTTTATAAAAGAATTAGATTAATTATTTTTAGTAAATTTTTTTCCTAACTATATTTGTTTCCGTCAATAAACTTAAATATGAGACTTAACTTTAAAAAAAAATTAATTCTACTCTCACTTGAATGTCAGTTATTGATAATAATGTATTTTCCCCGTTTGTAAGTGGTCTTGGATATCTTGGAAGTATATTATTTCAGGACTTGCCTCCAAAATGAATTTTTTTTTAATTAAATTTAAATATATTTTTACTTTATATTTGTAAAATAAATAAGTTTTAATTTCGATCCTATAGTTTTTTTTTGTTTTTCACCTTTCCAAAATTTAAAATAATTATTTTTAGTCACTGTAAAATAAAATAATAAATTTTAATCTTTATAAAATATTCTTTTTAATTATCATCTTTTTAAATTTGAAATAACTAATTTTGATTTCTCAATATTTATTTTAAGATAAGTAAATAATATTTATTTTGAGTATCTTAACAAAATATTAAAGGTATTACATATTAATATAATAATACAAGTAGTAATAACTGTTACCAAAAGTAATTATTTAATATTTTGTTTAATATATAAACAATTAACTAATGTCACACAATAAAAAAGAACAAAAACAATTATTTTTAACTTTAGAAAATTAAAAAAAAATGAAACTAAAATCAAAATTCATTTTACGTAAGCTAAACACATGATTAACTCTTTTCATAATATAGAGTTAATCATGTGTTTAATATTTTAATATAGTATTAAAATATATGTGTAAGAAGTGCATGTTTTCTGGAAGCAGCTTGCAATGAAATGTAGACCAAAAATTTCATTAGTCATAATCAAGTGATATATGGTCATTTTTTCTTCAGCTGTGATTCTCTCTCTACACAACAGGTCAAACATTAAAGACCTCATTTATAACAAAAACAAAATAATACCATGAAAAGCAACATTAATATTCTCATTAGTTCCGTTCACTACCTCGTGATCTCTGAAGGTTACGGGCATTTTTTATTTTTTATTTTTATTTACGAGAACATGCAATTAGGTCTGGGTCAAAGTTGAATATGGTGTTTTTTCCTAGGATTGTTTCTTTTTAGAGTTTAAATTTTGCGTTGTCCCTTATTGTTGTTGGTAACATAAAAAGTCAAATACAAGTCATTAAATCCATACCACCCACATTGTTACATAGACATGTCTAAATAGAAAATTACTCAACAGAACCATTTTCTTCCTTAAGAGGAGTGACCAATTTCCCAGTGGTGCCTGTCGTTGACTCCAGCAAAGACAGAGACTCAATTTAGCAACCACTACAAACAATAATTTATGTCCAAAGTATCTTAGCACACATGACATGCACACACCCATGCAAATCTGAATAACTTTAATACCTCTTGATCTTTCAAATCCCATCCTCACAAATATTTCAATTTCATAATCTCTTGCTTGTTCTTGTCTCTTCCTTTTCCTTGACTCGATATGAACATTCAAGTTGGTGTGAGTCAGGAGTGATAGATATTGTTTAAAGAAATATGTTAACCAGTAACTTAGGACACTAATTAAGGAATCAAAAGAAGAAAAGAATTATAGAAAATTGTCATAGCACATTCTTCTGTGTAACTTTAATGTTATTTTTAATAAAAAAGTTGCTTATTGATTCTTTAATTAACCAGTGTTTTTAGATTACCAGTTAGCAAGACCTTGTTCAAATTATATCAAACTTTCACTAAGATCACATAGGATAGTAAATTCGAACCTGTAAAGCAGAACTAGTATCTGGATGTGTCAAATATCATCCAATGATTTTTGAAAAGCATTCTCATTTATCCTGAGAGCTTCAGCTGCAACTTCCTTCTCAAACCTGGCTGAATCAATTGTATAAAATTTGACTAGTTTTAGCATGATAGGAAGCAACTTTATAGTCATAGATCATTAGCATTTAACTCCAATTTACAAGAAGAAATGCAAGCATTGTTTCAAGCTTAGATTAGAGAAAAAAGTAAGTTGTCTCCAAGTAAGTTGTATCATAACAAGTGATAAGGCTTGATCTGAAACTTGCAGCTGCATTAGAGAAAAAAGTAAGTTGTCTCCAAGTAGACCAAAATAAAAAATAAAATAAAAAGAAACAGAATACATGTAATGCTTAAATCCTTGCAATTTAGTTTTAGCTTCTTAATTGTATATCAGCTTGGGGTTCACTAATTTTTATTTCTCATAAAACTTAAATATTTTAAGTTTATATGATAAACATGTTTGGATACAAATTTATAAAGACTTTTAAGAATTTTTGTATTGAAAAATATTTTTTTGTTTTTAATAAATAAACTCTGAAAAGTCCGTCATATCCAAACATGTTCTTAGACTTCTTTTTACTCATATTGAATCACAATTTTTAGTTCAATTAACCTTTTCAAATTTTGCTTGTGCTGAAAGTAGTGTAGCTTTTGCTCTATCCAATTGACCACTATAATAGGCCGCCACTCCTTCATGCAGCTCCAGTCTCAAATGCCTGCATGCAAAGTCCAAATATTGTTCATAACAAAATTAAAATCCTAATACTGATATACTTAAAGAAGTCAAGAATTAATTACTAAAGTAAAATTTAATCTAGTTTGAATTGAAGCCTAAGGATCTTCTTGAGATTTTTCAGGGAACAAGAAATAGCTAGGACAATGCAGAAAAAGAAGTAAGAACTCATCACAATGCAAGTTCTTGATAGCGACCTCCCTGTAAAAGTCTGAGGCATGTAGCATGCTTCCCATAAGCACGTTCAAGTCCTTCCCTAGCCATTTCGAGACGTTTTCCTGCTTCTGATAACAAACTGATGTCTCGGATCATAAAGTAGCACCACACCATGTTTATTTGCAGTATTGGAATGTTGTCAATAAGCTGAATGGAGAGAAAGTGGTTCAAATTTACACAATGAGAAAATGTGTTAGGAATCATTTTTATAATCTTGGAAGAGCAAAGTTACAATGGTAGATTCAAGCTTTGAATCTATGATGTTATTCAAAGTTATTTTAAGCTCTTACCAATAGTCTATTCCTAGATGCCTGCATTTTATTAGAGTTTAGTGTCACTGCCTTTAGCAAATTATGTAAGTTCTGTCAAATGGCCAAATTAGATGTGTATTATATCAGTCACTCACCTCAAGGGCCTTAGGATCACAGAGAGAATGCTTGTTGTAAAAGAAATTAGGTCTTGACTTTGTGATTTTATCATGTCAAATAATAATAAGGAAACGAATACATCATGTAACAACTAGCTTCATGGATTAAAATTAAAATAACCTTTTTTTTCTAGAAAAAGAAAAATCAAAACATGATAAAACATAATAAAGCCATTTAACTTGGATTAAAGAGTGGAGGATGTTCAAGCGCATGTTCATATTTTACATGATAATTCATTGAATAACAATGTAACAAATCATTAGAATGTCAATATATTCTAATTAAATTAAAATATTTAACATGTATATAACTCCTTCGGTTGGATGTTGTTGGAATTTTATTAAAATAAGTATTAAATTTTCTAAATAGAGATATTAGAGCATGTCCCATTCTTATTTAATTATGATTACCAGGATTTTTTTTCTTTTATTCGTGGATCCAGTGTTTGGTGAGATATCTCACTGCGTAATTTTATTTTTTCTGAATAAAATGGAACTTGTGCTGGTCATTGTTTTCGGTCATGTACATTTAAAATTCGAGGCATTTTCTTTGTGATGCATTTGCACAATACGTGAGTTATCATTGTTAATTTGGTTTTAATTCAAAATGTCAAAGTTATGCGATTTGGCTCCTATAAATTGCCATAAGCTTCATTTTGGTGAGAACAATTGGACGGATAGAAAGCTGTGATTTTAGTTTTTTTTCTTTTTTCTTTTTCAAAACTTTCTTTTAAACAAATTATTCGAATCCATCAATGATGCACCATATATCTTGTTAGTCTGTACCCAAAAAAATATATATATCTTGTTAGTCATTCATGTGACTTTTAGCATAGAAGTTACTGGTAAAAAATATTTAATGTTACGTGAGTGTAAATCTATGTGAGTATTAATTAGTTCAAAAGAAGGTTAATGTTTGCTCGGCATGCATTCACTTAAACATGTAATGGCAAAAAATTTTAGTAGTATGTATTGGTTTAGGTTCAAAATATGTTATTGTGGTTATAATTTTAATAGATAAAATAAAAGTAAGGATAAATATGTAACAATTATGAGACTTATTTTTAATGATAAATCAATTTAAAGAAAAATATTATTTAACAATATTAATATTCAATTGTTGATGCATGGTTACAATAAAATATTATCAAAGTGTGTTTGAGAAAATTGTGAACATTAATTTATTTTAATAATCAATTATATGAATAACCGATTATTGTTGTAATTGATTATAATTTAAATGAAATTTTGTTTGAGTATGTTTACTTATAAATTATTTTAAGATATTTAATTTTATTTAAATATAATAATAAAAATAAATTTTTGTGTAGTAAAAGAAAAAAGATGTTAAAAAATAATCATAAGATTCAAATATTGTGATTTTTAAAAATAATTTATTTAAAAAGAAACGTTTACAAATTTAAGTCATTGTTCTAAACATATAATTTATTTTGTACTTTGTCTCCCTTATTTTTATAAATTAAAAATCATTGCTCCTATTTTTTCTATTTACGATTTAGTCTAATAACTATGTAACTTTTAAATATAACTATCCATGATAGATTATATGATCCATATTTACTCTTCTCACTACATACACACCAACATATTTTTAGAAATAAATATATTAACATGTTATAACTTTAATTTTTCTTAAACATTTTTAAAAGTATAGCTTGTTAACATACTCTTCAGTACTTAGATGAGTATATAGTTTCATCGATGATTATTAACATATAGTTATTTAGATGATGCAATTTAGTAAAATATTTTTTTTAAATAATAAATGTAAATTAATTCCTTATATATAGGAATTGTAATTTTTAAAAGATTTCTTAAATGTTAGTTTATCATGCATTAGGACATTCGCAACATGAATTCTTAAAGTCTAAAAGTTTCTTTGAAGATTTGATTAAATAAGATCTTTCATTATACTTAATTTCAGTAACTTATAGAAGCGTATGTGCTTCCATCTTTTATAATTAAAATTTTAATTTATAATATATTTATTAATGTTATAGACAATGTCACAATTGAAACGTAAAAATATAACTTAATTTATAACTTAATAAAAAAATTAAATTAATAAATAAATTATTAGTGATATGTATAAATATAATATTTTTGTGGAATTCATTTAAAAATTGAAAGAGAGATGTTGAATTAAAAATAAAATATTTATAAAAATATTTAAATTAAAAAAAATAAAAATAAATTATATGTATGTGTGAATTCCACTTAAGAAAAGATCTATGTTAGAAATCTCATTAATTCCTTTTATATTTTTCTAATGATTTTCTAATAAAGTAAGCTTTTATTCGACATGTATGTTATCACAAACCTCTTGTTCAGATTGTATTTATTAATCCACCGCCATTAGTTATTCATTTTCGTTGTCTATAATGCTCCAATAACTCACATTCCCTCTAAGTTCTCCCTTTTTTTTAATACTTAATAGGGTGTGATAATTATTAATGTATTATGTGAGTTATTAAGATGTTATATGTAATTAACGACATTAAATAATTAATTATGGATGTAAGAAAATGAATGATGAGAGAAATTAAGTGGCGAGGGAAAGCAGTGGGGGTTGAGCAACAGTGAACAGTCCGGCATGGGGAAAAAGCGAAAGGCGAAGAAAGCCCCTAATGGAAAGCAGCGGAACCACCAAAACGTCGCCGCTTTGGTTTGCCGAGTAACAGACGCAGCACAATCCTTCCTCTCCGATAACGACCTCACTCTTCTCCCCTCCCAATCCCTCCTTCTCGAAACCCTAATCTCCTCCCTCTCACCCAACCCCATTCTCCCTCCGCCGCAAAACGACTCCTGGTTCCGCCGTTTCCGCTGCGTCTCCGATTCCCGATGGGGCCACGCCTTCCGCATGTCGAAACCCTCCTTCTCCCACCTCCTCACACTCCTCTCCCCCTCCCTCGCCCCTTCCTTCCCCCACACCGCCCCCGACTGCGTCCTCGCCGCCGCCCTCTTCCGCCTCGCCCACGCCGCCCCCTACGCCTCCCTCGCCCGCCGCTTCGCCCTCTCCCCGCCCGACGCCTGCCGCGCCTTCTTCGCCGTCTGCAAGGCCCTCGCCGACACCCTCCACCTCCCCTCCCACTCCCAGAGTTCGCCTTCCCTCCCCAACTGCTTCGGCGTTTTAGGCTTCGCAAGGTTCCAAATTCAGGCCCAAAAAAACGACTGCTTGATGGTTCAAGCGTTGGTCGACTATAAAGGAACGTTCTTGGATATCTCAGCCGGGTGGCCCAGTACGATGAAGCCCGATTCGATTCTTCGTCGGAGTAAGCTTTATCACGGTGTTGTGGAATCCAAGGAGTTGTTGAATGGGCCGTGTTGTGACCTGGATGGGTGTTTGATTCCTCAGTATGTTTTAGGAGATTCTTGTTTTCCCCTTTTGCCTTGGCTTTTGACGCCTTATAACAGGGTCAACGAGGAGGATAGTTTTGGTTCTGCTGAGAGAGCGTTCAATTTTGCGCATGAAAGTGCGATGGGGTTGGTACGGGACGCGTTTCGGAGGCTTCGCGCCACGTGGCGGCTTCTCGCGGCTTCCAGAAAGTGGAAGCGGGAGTGTGTTGAGTATTTGCCGTTTGTGGTTGTTGCTGGCTGTTTGCTGCATAATTTTCTTGTCGAGTGCAATGAGGTGGTGGAGTTGAAGGATGGTGAAGAGGTGGGTTGTGTTGAAAAGGAAGAGGCTTTTGATGGAGTTGGGGATGAGAGTGCGGTGAGGGTGAGAGATGCACTTGCTTTGCATTTGAGTAGGACGAGCTTGAGAAAATGAGTGGTGGGTGAGGATGGAATCAGGTGCGGATGATTTTGTATTTGTACCATCACAGTGTTACTCGTGAGTTATTTTTGAAAATTGGCTTGCTAGTGGAACCAATGTTAGTACACAGCATATGATCTAGTCAATGAAGTAAAGTACAATTTTTGTTTTGATCTTAATAAGAAAACAGGTATTCGGATATGTATATTGACAGCTACATATTTTCGGTTCTTAACAACTTCTGAGGGTTGTCGTCCATGAAGTAATAGCAGTTGATAAGGATGAAGTGAAGCAAAGCTCGCTGCTAATGTCGATGTGTAAGACACTGCAAAGTGCAAAGCTCTCAAAGAAAACGTCCAAGTCTATGAAATCAGCATTATTGTTTCACTCATCATCAAAAAAGTGCAACTTTTTTGTAGTGGAGGTCCACAAAGAAAAGGGTTGTCATAGAAACTACTCTCATCAAATTGAATAAGTTGGTTTTTCTTGTCACACGTTGAACTTGATATGTAGTTGTGTCACTTGCGTGCCACGTTAAATACTTCCTGGATGCTTAATCCAGATAGTTGAGAGGAATTCTGCCTCTTAATTTGTAATGAAATGAGGAAGATCAATAAGCTCTCTTTTAAATTGGAGAATCTGGCTGGGATTGGCCTTAGTTGTTGTCGTAATTCCATGTTTATGTATGTTATTGTTCCTGTCATGTAAGCACGAACTTTTGTTGAGACGTCAAATCACCCTTGGAATTAATTAAATAATCTTTTCTTCTTTGCTTTTAAGTTTCTTTCCGCAACTTTGTAATGAAAAGTCCAATGAATTTATACACTGATACGCAGATAGAAAGAAAGATCGAGCCATCGAGGTACAATTGAGCTTTTCATAATTAATTTAGTCACTGTAGTATTAGCTCATATTACAAGCATTAACACTGGTTATAAAATGTCCAGATAATGACAAGCTATGAAAAGCAAAAATTAATAGTCAAGGTAGCCGGAGTGAGTATGTACAAATATCAACACATGTAGACTTGGCTCCCAAAGGAAGATATTAGACAACATAATCGAACACTATACATTTCTGAGTAGACAGCGGCCATGTCATGGTGTGACAGTGTCATAGCAAATCTCCATTGCTACGGGAATGGGTCTTCTGCCTTTTCCCTAAATTTTGCTGCATATGGTTGAATTCATTACAGTAACAAGATGCATATCTTACCCACCTATAGTTTCTGAGGGGTGAAGATGGATTATCAACGTACTCCATCAAAATTGAAGCTTAGCTGATGAACAGTTATTTACACAGTTCAACCAGCAAGATATTAAACTCACGAAGCCAAAACGTGGTGAATGGTTTTCCCTTCTTTGTAAAACTTTAAAAAACTCGTTGGCACTTAAGTTTCCATCATTGTTAGCATCAAACACATAAAAAATTATGTCAACCACTCTATCTGTGATACAGATGCCACATACCTGCATGATTAGAGCATAATACAATAAGATGATGTTCATGGATTCGAAATGGTGTACAATTTGCAATAAGGAGGTGTTAGTACTTGAGATGCTGCTCTCTGAAAATCAGGTTTTGTCAACACCCCGTTAACTTTTCCATAACTAAACATGGCCAGAGAGAAGGGTTGCAACTTCTTGCGCAGTTCTGCAAACTCTTGAAACTCCTTGAATGTAATTCTTATGTCTCTTAGTTGCTGGTGGCTGTTTAATCCGTCGACCCTATCCAACAGTCTGCTTATCTCATTGAAGTCTGCAGATGCAACCAAGGACAGAGCGAAATCTTTGGCTGAAATGGTTCCTTTTTTATTGTAGTCATAGTGGGAAAACTCTAACCTTAAAATCTGTAAATCAAATTATAAGAGTAACGTAATGTTAATCATACAAGGTTATTTCAATCTACAAGTACTCATAATTACCTTGACTTAAATTGAAAATTTTACAAAGTTATCAACTTATTTTGGTTGAGTAGAATTTTCAGCAGAGAATTCTAGTTGCTACCAAGTTGACTGAGTCTTTTGTTTTTTGTGCACATGTACAGAAAATTGGGTGTGAACCTAGAACTTCATGCAATGATTGAGGCTTATGAGTAATGACCCCATTAAAACATTTCAATGACAGTATATGGTCAACTCACATACCTCATCATGAAGCTGCCTTAAGAATTCAACGAATCTTTCATGTTGTAAGCAAGTCTTTCCATCTTTGCCGAAAAAATACTCCAAGAGACCCCCATTTTCTATAGAAACTTTAGATCCAAGACGTCGTCCATCTCTGTGGTTAGCCCCTTGTCTGTTTTGTGATCGCATCAAGGTCATCACTTTCTTGAATTCTAGCTCGTCTATTTCCCTTGCCAAACAATTAAAAAAGTCAGGTGCTCAAAATCTAAAACCAAAAATCCAAATTCTTTTACAGACAGATCTGACTAGTAATCCTAATCCATTTCTGCAATCTATTTGATATTGTAAGTCGTAACTGAATCTTGCCTACATTTTTAGTCTGTTTCAATTTATGTTCAAATGTCTTACACGCTCAACTTGTCAAGTGCCAAGTTCTATAGGGGGAGCATGTCATATTAAAATCGCTTAAACAATTAATATGATTGAGCTTTTAGAATGTGAACAATTGAAAACACTTGTAGTGATGTAGACAAAAGATAGACATTTATATTAAATTTCTTCATTGTAAAAACATCCATATATAAATTATGGACATTGACTAGCATTTATAAGGATTGATGATGGTACGCACAACACAACCGAAGCTCGTTTAAAATTCCATCAAAGAAACTGAAGGCCAAAGCTTCATATAATTAGAAAATATAGCTGATGACATTTTCTGGAAGGAAAGAGAAGATTCCTACCCGTTGTTGTCAGTATCAATCATTTTAAATGCCACTGAAAAGCTGGACTCTGGTATGCTGAGGAGAGTAACAAAAAAGATGTACCTGGTGTCGATAAAAAAGAGTTTCTGTTATCCACACTACATAGTACTTAAACTCGGAAACAATGTGGTTCATATTATTCTTTTAAAAGAGAGATACAGACATGACAGAAAAGTTTGAAGCAAATAAAAAAGACAATAGATACTCACTCTGCAAAGGAAATGAGTCCATCATTGTTCGTGTCAAAGAGCATAAAAAATTGTGAAGGCTCACACTGCAACTGGCCAGGAACCTGCTCCCCTCTTAGATAACCCTCTCTAATACGGTTTGATTCAGAAGGAGGAAAGACAGGAACAATGGCACGCATCAAATCTGCAGGTGTCATAAAAACCTCACCACTAGGGGCTCGAACAGATGCAAAGTAGTCGAAAATCTGCACTTAAGTATGGAGCCAGATAATGAGATAGTCCATAGTAACAATTCGCTGGTTTTTAATATAAACAAACAACAACAACATGGCTGATCATTATACTAGCACATAATGACAAGATTGATTACCTTTTCAGGAGGGCTCTGCAAGCGAATTCGTTTTTCATAATTGAAGAATACTCTTCTTCTATAGCCATCTGCATCAAATGACAAGTTCAACAAATTTAAATATTTCCAGCAAAGCAGATAAGTTAACAATTAAGCTATAAAAATCCTATGTGTATATCCTTAATGCTTCTAGAATGCAAAATTTTATAAAATTACCTAAGTAGTTTTGGTTGAATAACATTATAAAAAATATAAGTTCCCGTGCATCTACTCGATATGACCATGAATTAAATGCTAAATTAAGAAGAAAACATTTGGCATTGCAAATTGATATTGAAAAACTAACAGGTAGATAGCCTGGGTAAAACTGGACCAATTTCCTTCAGTAAGGTATCATGTTTGGTAAGGTTTTGAGGGAAAACCTGATCAAGTTATCCTCAAAAGTTATTAGTCCGCTTTTCGATAGAAATTAATTATCGAGAAAATCAGTGAATAATTCAGACTAATAACATAGTAACATGTTATCACAAGGAAAATTGAAAAAGAAAAAGAATTTTAAGCACTAAAATGAGAAAATGAATGTTATAAAGCATGGTACATGCAATGCAACGTAAACGATGGGAGAAAAGGAGGGTTACCATTAAATAGGAACTTGGATTTGGTTTCATAGTTTTGTTGGAGCTGATCCACCTTGGCAGCATCAGAAAAAGAGTGAAGAGAATTATCACCAGGAGAGGACAAAGCTGACCAATACCAAAAGCCTAAGGTGGAGCCAACAACGGCAACCCCAGAAGTGATTGATGTAAGAAAGACATGCAAGTCTCTGAACCTCTTGTCCCCATGTCTGGACCCAGGAAAGGTGCTGAAAGAAGAAGAAGAAGAAGAAGATGATGAAAACGACGACGATGATGATGAGGTGAAGCCCTGTGAATAGCTGCAGAACGGGCTTATGGTGTGCCGCAGAGACAGTTGGAATCTTCTACCCCAAGAAAACATGCTAAGGTAGCAGTTGAATTGAGATTGATGTGAGAATACTATTATATATATAGAGAGAAAGAGAGAGAGAGAGAGAGAGGAATGTAGATGTAGAAATATGAGTGAAAAGGTGGTAGGAGGAATTTGAGGATGTGAGAGAAAACGTTGGAAAGGGATTCCACAAAGGTTTGACCAAGATGTGGTGTGTACGGGTGGAGCGGGAAACATGTGGTCTTTTGACTCGGACTGCATGTATAACTTAGTGGTTCTCGTTTCTCAATCATGCATCTCGTTCGATAGGATCATTCCACTTCACAAACATCCTCTTTCACTCTCTACATAATTTACGATGCATATCCTTATTCTTTTTATGTAATTTTACCCTTTTTCATCGCTTCACCTACCATAAGTTTCTTTCTAGACAAATAAAATAATAAATAAACTTGTAAAAATTTGTATTGCTTTGTGTATAAAAGTTTATTTATACAAATTCTCTCATTAATTTCTCTAAAATGTATTGTTTAAATTAAATTTGATTTATAGAAAAATTTATTTTATTTTTTCGTTCTTATTTTTTTTCTTATAGAAGTACTAGAGAGAAATCAATTATCCAATTAAACCATAACTATGAAGTCACCATTAAAATTAAGAAGGAAAAAAATTGATGTTAATTATAACATATAAAAGAAGCAAGTGATAAAATAATAATAGAAGATTTAGAATATGTTTGGATAAATGTTATAAAAAACACTTTTGGAAAATAAATAAATAAATAAATAAAATATTTTTATAAGCTAAAATTAGTTTATACATAAATTATTTTGTAACTTTTTGGTAAAAAAATATATGAGAGAATTTCTACAAATTAATATATATGTATACTAATTTTAGTTTATAGAGAATTTTTTTTATCTTTTTTCTTATTTTTTTCTCTTAAAAGTGATTTTTTTTGGAGAAATTTATTCAAACAAACCCTTAAATAACACAAAATAAGTATAGGAAATATTTTGGAAACAAAAAAAGAGTGAAAAACTATAAGAGGATAAAGTATAATTTATCCTATAATTTATAATAATAATTAAGGCACATTTTCGTAAAAAATTATCTTGCTATATTTACAGTATATATGAACATGGATTACTCATTTACTTAAGGTTTAGAAATAAAAACTCTCACACACCAAAATAAATAAATAAAAACTCTTACACAGAAAATTCGTAAAAATAAAAACTCTTACATTATGAATAAGAAGAACTCAAAAGTGCTAGTAATATATTCTCTAAATTTAATTTTTTTTCTTGAATAATTTTAATTTGTATTTATGAGTATGTATGTATGTACTAGTAATTGTAGTTAAAATATTTTAATGCAGAAATGTTAAGCTGGTAGTATAGGTCTACATATTAAAAGGAACTAGCTGCTACAAGTCTGCTACTACTGCGCCCTTTATTTCCTTCCTTCCTTTCCCCATTCACAATTGCCTAACAATCAATTCACCATTATTATCTCACGTGATTCGCCCACCTTCTTACGTACTTCTCCAGCTAAGCCATCAAATTTACATGCCATACTTTCTAATTCACTTTCTTTTGTTAAGTCATACGCCATATTTTATTCAGTTTCTTCTCCTAATTTGTTAAGCCATAAGCTGAATTTGATTAGACTATCAACTATTCATGCAAATAAAAAATTATTTCAGATAATAATATATAATTAGATGACATAGAGAATTTTTTTATTGAATTCTATTTTATAATGAAATACATTAAATTTATTCTGAAGAGATTTTTATCTATTAAACTCGTAGAATATAATTGCAATCGATTTTATCAAGAGCAAAAGAAAAAGTCTTCTCATTTAAGAGCAAAACTATTCCTATTTATGTCACTGATTTGAACGATACTAAACTGCATACTCTGCAGGTAACTTGCCGTGTTCTTCGGCTACTGAAACAACTTGATACAATTTGGTTAATTTTATCATCGGATCTTCTTCTCTCATCAATAATGATTTGGAAGGACATTTGCCCCACCAATTGTGACTTCATTCAACAAATTACTTCATTGCACCATACCGAAGAACGTCATGGGATGGATCCTTAACAAAACAGTTATTCTAAGTCAATTTATATGGCTTCTCTAACCCCTCTTGTTTTCTTTCATGCATTACTGTTCCTAATTAAAGTGGCAGGTATGTGCTAATTTCTAGCCTCCAACAACATTCAAGGTGTGGGTCATTTGGACTTTTTCTTAGATTACGATCCATCGCCAAAATAGGTAGTAGGTTACCAAATTGATTTTGCCTTAACTACTTCCCATTTCATGGGCCCTCAATGCCTTTAACCCATGTTACTCCCATTTCATTAGTCCTAATCTAACCACAAACACACACTCATATTTCATATTTTTATCCCAATTCATGTTTACTTCCTACCGCTAAATGGTTCTTACCTACAAATATGTCTGCAAAGTAGGTTCTAACACTGAGGGTTCCAATTTCCATTTTCCAACCTTCTGTAATATTATTCTCATAACCCCTACTATGTAATACCCGTGAACTATCCTTGCCATAACATGCCAAAAAAACTACACACAACAAAATTATTGGCTGTTGTCGCTCTCAATCTCAACTACCATCCAAATTTCATCAGCATCAATAAAAAAATAGTGTCAATGGTCTCAAAAATGAAAATAAATAGCATATACCGACCACATTTATCATTTAAGCAAAGCTCTCATATCTCAATGTCCACACTCCACACCTCCTTATCTATCTTATAAATCATAATGCCAACCTCAAACCTCAGCATATCCTACCACTTTGGCACAACCCCATCATCTATGGACTGGTTCTCGTGGCTATCCAAAACCACTCTCGAGCCTTCCTTAATCTACGACTATGGCCTCACCTTTGCCCGCAACGAGCTTCAAGTGGAAGATGCATGCTTTTTCAACCACGAGTTTCTTCAGAGCATGGGAATCTCAATTGCCAAGCACAGGCTAGAGATTCTGAAGCTCGTGAAGAAGGAAGAAGGAGCAGCATCACGTCCCAATAAGAAGCTCTCTGGGGTCATCAAGAAGTGCCTAAGAAAGTGCATGAACAGGTTTGTTTCTCGTGAAGATCATAAGATGCCCTCCATGCCTGTGACATCAGTGCCACCACCACCTGAGATTAATTGGTATGAAGGGAAAGTGAAAGGGTCACATGTGAGGAAGCAACAAGGGAGTGAGGATATTCTCAAGGAAGATAAGCCTCTACCTGTGCCTCCCATGTACAGAAGCAGAACCATAGCACTTTCAGGACCTTTGGATGGTGGTAGAATGCATATGCATGAGAAAATGGTCAACAACAGGGCCTTGAAGCTATCTGGGCCTCTTGATGGAAGGATGCATGAGAGAATGATGAGCATTAATAGAAGCCCTTTGATGTCTAGGCCCATCGATGCAAGATTCGTAGCCACTACTAAGAGTCCAAGAATCTCAGCCTCTCTGTATGTAAATAGAAGCCCAAGACTACCCACAAGGGCTGAAACTGAGAGCCCAATGGGTTGCAGTCCTTATAACAAGCCCAGAGGTGATTTGGATTTTGATGATGATCACGCACTCTGGCCATCACTGTTTCAAGATCTCAAACCAACTTGATTTTGATTGTGTTTGCTTTTTTGGCGTCCGATGGTGAGTGACGCTTACACTTTTTTTTTTTTTTTTTTTTTTTTTTTTTTTTTTTTTTTTGTTTTTTATATAATAATCTCTTAAAAAAAAG